ATACGTTCAACTCAATATGGTCACGTGGACAATAACAAAAATACAAACCATAATTTTTATCAAAAATAGCAATTTATAATGTGGAACTCTTTTGGTTATAAGAAAGGAAAACAATGCTCCTTTTCTTTAGCATACTGCATTACGATAATTTTCAAGACGAAATAAAAACCTTATATTAAGGAAATCAATGACTTTTATGTATCTACACCACTGAGTACTTTTTAATTGACCTTCAATAATAAACGTCGTCTCTTGAGGTTTATTAATATCATTAAAATGGTATTCCACATAATTATGAGGCAAATACAAATACGACTCTACTTCGATTGTCAAACGTAAATTATAATTTTACATGTAAGATATTTAATGGTGTCGTGCTTTCAACTTATTCGAATCCTCAAAATCGTCGTTTATAACATATAAATATTTACTCTGAAGCCACACAACATTGGATTGGAGGTAGTGGAATAACTTATATTATTTGTCATCCCATGAAAGTAAAAGAAATTCTTGATGGTGTTGATTTTGTTTTGCTGTTGGACTTGTATCCTTTTTGACTCGAAATAATATTTTATGTAAGCATTGGACTCTGGTTATGTAATTTTTATTATTATTATTTAATTATGAACAACATTCCTTTTTTGTTGTTCCTAATAAGTGAAGCCGTTTTTAGTACTAACAAGAAAATTAAAAAATAATTCAATCTCCAAGCTCTATTATCATTGTACCGTTTGTATTTACAGAACACTGCGGCAGCTGGGAGTGTATGTTGATTTTGTGCAACTGGGGCGCGTTAGTGGGTCAGCCGCATGGAACGTGGTGCATCTAAATTATGCATCTGCTTTGGCCCTGCCCTGTCAATGCAACTACTGCGACCGCCGTAAATTAATTGCATAAGGTGTTATTAATACGAGTAAATAGCAAGTAAAATAGATCTTAGTACACATTTTTTGGAAAAAATCTGCATTTCATTTAAAAAAAAGGCTCACCATATACTAAATATGAAGACGTGATGGGCATAACTGCTTTATTAATTTATCATAATTTAATATAAAATCATAAAATGAGATATATTATTGGACTAGCAACATATACATATAGTATACATTCTAAAGTCCCATGTTTCAAACACTGTAAATTTCATTATATTGTCAATACTCGATTAAAAAAACTTAATAAAATGGGCCCCAACTACCTCACTCATTAGACGAAACGCAGCAGTATCACACTTCCACTTCGCGCCGGTTTGCTGTGAGGGCGTCGTACTTTCCCGGACGGACCTGCCTATTCCTGCAACAGCGAGTTGCGTGCCATTGCCTCACTAAATAGCAACTAAACAGATCTTAATGCTAATTTTTGTACATAATATGCTAAAATGTATAAGTATCGCATCTGAACAATTTGGCTTGATGACGTATGGGGCATTCCTGGTTATGTATCACTATTATATATAAGTACCCGAAGGACCCTGTTTTTTTTTTTGGTAAATCGTGTGTTTTTGAAATTACATTTAGATACAAATTACTGAGTAATGAAATATGCGTAATATTTTTCGATCTTACCGACCTAATAATAAGAAAGATGAAGTGGCGTTTTTCACAAAAGAAACAACTTTAAAAAAAAGGGAAAAAAGTAACAAAGCGACAAAAAAATTAAAAATAAAGAAAGCAATGATCTGGAATCGAAAAAAAAGTAAAAAAAAGAGTGTATAATGATCGTAATACGAACCACGGCCGTCTGTTTTGGGGCCGCCCGATTACCGACCGAGCTATTATGATATTAACTGACTTTTGCGGCGAAATTTACCGTCATATTCAAATGATATTTTTCATTCCCTGAAAACAGGGATAAAAGGACATTTTCTAAAAATAAAACCTAGCTAGATCGATTTTTCGCCCCCGAATCTACGCACATACTAAATTTCATGAAAATCGCTGGAGCCGTTTCCGAGATTCCGATTATATATATATATATATATATATATATATATATATATATACAAGAATTGCTCGTTTAAAGGACAAGATATATATATATATGTAGAGTGATTCAAGAGGAAGGTTTATATATATAATACATTGCACCCATGCGAAGCCGGGGCGGGTCGCTAGTAAATATTAAATCATGAAATTAATACAAGCTGCCCCGTATTATAAACATATAAAATGCATACTAAACTGCCATGTTTGAAACACATTAGAATTTCATCAAATTCTCAATTAACTTAATAATATGATTCACTTCGCTATGGACTATATTATTTTAGGTTCGTATTTATTCAGTACAAATCGCTCTGCGGAAAGTTCTAACTGCCGAGGTTTCGCAACAATGGAATGCTCAATTTCAAACTCTTTGTTCCATTTTCATTCAGTCTGTCTGTATTGTATTTGTTTTCCGATACAGTTTTTTTTTTTCGTCCCGATTCTTTAAAACACCAATTATTATAAAACTCATTCATCGGCTGAAGTAAATGGTTTCAATGAACTGCAGGCAAAAAAAGGGCTGATAAAGAAAACCACGTGACAGTCCCTAAAATATCTAAAACTTTTTGATATTTGGATGCAATATCCGGATACTTCTTGACTCCTCTACACTAGGCACACTTGAAGTTTTTGTTTTAGTTAAAAGTATTGGAATAAGTTGCGAATTTGTCGCGTCGAAATATATTGAATTAATTCACTTATTCTGTAAGACGGTATCATTAAATTTTGAACTAAAACAGTCGAGTTTCGTCCAATATATGCTTCAATTTTTAACACAATAGCACCATCTAGATACCCGTTGGGAACGTTACGTAAGAATTCAATTAATACACATGTAATGAAAATTATGTATTAACTCATCGACACTTGAATTGCTTCTTTAGCACTAGTAGTCAGTAGTAATGGAAGAAAGAATGAAAAGTTTATTTGGTACATGAAAATTGTTTACAATGAAAAGATATACGAATACCGTAACAACCTGTGATCATTATGAACAGAGCATTTTCATTGCTGAAAGGCCACCAACGCATGTGCAAGCTCTTCGGTGTGCACGTGTTCATGGGCGCTGGTCATCGCTTGCCTCTCTTTTCCATAAAAAGCAATACTATTTAATATTTAAATACATCAAATAGGTTTCCACTCAGCGTGAGTTCACGAATTTAGTAAACTTCGATGCTGATTTTCAGTGGAATACAATACTCAAGGCCATCGTAGCTGTTAAATAGGGCTCTATTGCAATAACCCAGTTGTGGGAAATATTATGCCAAGTACGCTTACAGAGGCTCTGTTGAGGATTATTTATTCTTCTCGGATTGTTTCGGCGCCTAAAAGGTTTACATTGCGCTGGTCGGGCTACTTGAGCGGGGCTCAGTTTTATGAGTGTTATTTTGTATAAATGCGGTTAAGCGTTCTTATGCCTCCGTTGGCACGTTTCGAAAAAAGATTTGTTATTACATTACATTTTCTTATACTATTACTACATATATATAGTTACTTTGACGCCTTAAAATTGCCAAAATAATGTAACAAAAATACTACGAAATAATATAACTTAGAAACAGTAACAAAAGTTTATCATTCCTTGGCGCAAGTTCACATGAGCATACGCATGCTAACAAAAAAATAACTAAACCCTGTAAAGATAAAAAGGCACATGTATGCTTTCTTGAAAAACTTCTTGAAAGCCTAAGACCCCATGACGTACCCAACTTATTTGTAGGGCCGTAGGGAAATCGCCCTGCGACGGTAGAAGCGTTAGAAATTTCTAGGAAGATTAAAAGTAAACGTTCAGGACAAAATTATATACAATTCAGTCGCAATAGAAACACAATTGGACGAATTTAACATTTAATAAACGTAAAATTTTAATTTAAAATCTCTTACTACAATTGCACGTTTATTAAACGAGTACTAGTCAGATGTGTGATAGTTTAAAATTTGGCATCCTCAATGAAAAGGAAGGCAAGCGATGTTAAACTACACAGTGACATATTTTGTATCTTTGGCCATTCCAAAAATTGTATTGTGATTGTGATAAAATGTTTCGTTGAGGAGAAAACCTCTTTCAGTGTGATGCATGTATCCAAAAAAATAAAAGATATCTTGGAAATTTTAAAGCTATCTATCAACAATATTTTGCGTCTTCTGCTATTGGGGCACATTGCATACTCAGAATATAGACTGTATTGAAATAAAACCAATTTAATGTCGCAGTCGAATTTCGCTAGCCACTGCAATTCACCACTTTAAGGTAAAGTTGAGTCATCAGTCATTATTTAGTAAAAGTATTAAATGACAATTTTTATGACTTGTATTATAAATGTTCAATATGATTTTCTGTGTATACAGTAATCTTTTATAATCCCTACTATATAATATCATAAATTCAATGTGTCACATGTCTTTTATTTTCGTTTCTATTCGCTTAGCAGTGGGCCAGTGGTTAGACATATTTTTATATGAATCGATAAATCATGGCCAGCTACTTTCATCCTTTGGTGGTCCACTTTAAAACTTCGATGGTGTGGAACAGATCTGGCTCTTCATTAAAAACTGTCAATTTTGGCATGTACGATCCAATTACACGTGAGATTAGGCACGGGTTACAGGTAATTAAGAAACAGTTTTATTTATTTCATAGTACTGGATGCGATGGTTTTTACGAAATCATCTTTGGAGAATAATTATTTTATTTTATATTGAAAGTTTTGTTAGCTATACTTTGCTTTATCGAGTTAAGAAGGTAGAAATATAAATACTTTTACCAAATCACTGTAGTTTCACTTTGCACAACAATAACACTGGTATAATTACTTATTTTAACTTTAGACCACTAAAGAAACATCACTGTAACGATTTAATTTATGATACCGATTGGGCAGCACTATCGCGTATACTCCTTGTTGACAGCCGAAGACGACGAAGAAGACGACGAAGAAGACCATGAAATGCTTCTTGCAGCTTCATTTATACCTCACAGAATGACACTTCTTTTAGGGTTGCCAACAACCTCAAGGAATGACTTCCTTTAGTGCTGCCAACATTAATAAGTAAAACATAAGTTTTATAAGATATGAACAAAACGTACAAATAATGCACGTTTTTAATAATAATATTGTTTTATTATTCGCACCTATTTTTGCCGTTTGCGAAATTTATTCCACCCTCGTAAAATGAAATGTAATATCAATATTTATGTCCCACAGGACTTGTTTACGAGTATTCCGAGCCCCCGAGGCAGCCGGTGTTTTATCGAATTGGCCTATTGGAACAGATATTTCACATCAAACATCAGGTTTGGGGACTACAATTTCTTCTTTTTTCCCGAATAACTCAGCAGTTTTATGTAACAAAAGTATTATGCCTTTTTCTCTAGGACAATAAAAATATCAACACAGTCATCTTGCATTTTTTTAATTTATTTTTATTTCAATATTTAGTAACAATCACGTCTGAGGAAAATTAAACCATCGTCACTTTTTTATTTTCCTGATATTTCAATGATCAATGAGGACACGGACGTTTCTATCGGTTCGTTCGAACTTTATACAAGTTTCGCTTATGGCGGAGAAGCGGCACTTTGACCTCCGCTTTTAACGTTTATTTTCTCGTTAGTATATATGTTAGTAATTTTTTTTCAATTTACATTAACAAAAAAAATTATTAGCTTATCAAAAATACTACAAAAATAAATAGGTTACTTTTATCATAAATCACTACAACTAGCTTACGAACTTTACTGAATTTAGTTTCCGTTTTTATTTTTGATTTTGTGTCTGGACGCTCGCCTTTTTTCAATTAATAACAAAAAAAATATTTCAAAAATAATGTCAAGATCGCCAAGTTAAGTACGGAGTAGATCTTAACCCAGCAGTGGGACATTTATAGCCTGTTACTTTACAGAGGTTATGGTCCCGGGACAGACTGAGGCGTTTTACATCCTGTCGCCTAAGTTAATCCGGACTGTCATCATTTTTTTACTAAATTATATTGACAACTTGAAATAGCCTTATACCAGCCCCAGCAGATCTACTCACGTACTCTACATTTATAAGAAATATTTTATTTGTTACATATGTCAGTTTTAAAAAAAATCATTAAACCCCACGTCCGAGATTAATTAGGATTGAAAACTATTTCCTTATGTAATAATCCTCACATATTACTAAATAATTTAAAGTCAACTATTCGGGTTGTTGTTGTGAAACGTTCGAATTATCGAATTCAAATTATTCTGTTCGAATTATCGTTGTGAAACGATATTCAAAATTGTATGTATGTATGAAAGGATATAAAAATGAATGCGCCGAGATTTGATTAAAAAAACACATGCTAAAACACATTGTACACAACATAATGGACGTTGAGATTTTCGTCGGTATGGCAATCAGCGGTTTAGCTTAGTGGCTAAAGCCACGTCAGGGTGCCAGCCCGAAGACGTGGGTTCTACTCCCACAACGGCGAGAAACTTTTCTTACTTTATTTTACAAATTTGAATGTTTAATCTTTAAGTTCAAAGATTAGCACTACAAAAATTTAAATTTGTAAAAACCCCTACATAAATGTAAGCTAGTGTGCAGTTGCGATGTAATCTAATAATATATAAGAACACGCGCATGGAGCGTCACTGTTCAATATCGGCTCCTTTTCAACGAATAAGTTACAAGGACTGAAACAAAAAGGGCCCTTAGGAAAGGTCATCGGCCGCCCATATTAATAGTTCCTACAAGTCGGTTATCTCCGCCGTTCCATTTTATTACGGCAAGCGGTGAAACAAAAAGGCCTCCACTTGACAACTAAATCCAAACCGCAGCCGTCCGCACTAACTCATGTTGTTACTATAACGTGAACTGCAATAAAAACCGACTAAAGTATTGAATCACTTAATTTGATCGTTGCACGCCCAGTTGTTATCAAGTATCGCTACAGCCGCTGCTCTAGTCTGAAAAACAACTTGAAACGAGGTATTGGACCTTTTGGTATGGAACCTTTTTTATTATACATATTGCCGTAAATATTTATACATAGATCATTGGGGACAAAGCCATCATTGGAGACAAAACGCTTTTTTCATATACGTATGTCGCATCAATCAATCTGAAAATGAGTGACGTATGAGATTTCATTAACTGTTTATAAATATGTCATGGTTACCTTGATGCTAATAATATCTGTTAATATCGGTAAATAATTAAGCTAAAAAAAAACACGGCCGTAGCTTTTATTCTTCTATAAACACCTCCAAGGGATGCTCTAAATTTAAGTAGTATTAAAAAAATTTAAATGTCTTTTAACGAACGCAGTAATAACATTATTTACTCCCAGAGTCACTCTTTTAGAATTAACACCGATTATATAATATACAGATTATAAAGTAGATGCCGTTGTTTTTGATATGCAGCTCAGTGAAGCAATAGCTCGATTATCAACTACTACATAAATGAAGTTCGTTCTACAACGGTGGGAGGGCCACGCAGCAGCCTCGGCTGTTGCACGAATGGGCAGGCTCGTCTGGGTAAGTACCGCGACCTCACAGAAGACCGGCGTAAAGTGGAAGTATAATACTTTCGCGTTTCGTCTGGTGAGTGAGACGGCCGGAGCCCAACTTTCAAAAGGTTGTCAACGCATCTGGAACCCTCGGGTGTAGCAGATGTCCATGGGCGGTGGTATTCAATTAACATCAGGTGAGCCTTTAGTTTTCGCAAATACGACTACTAGCATTAATGGTAATGAGTTAAATATTTGCCTATTTAGCATTGGGTATCTCGAACTAGGATTGGGTTGGGAGATAACAAATTCACCTTTCCAATAGTTTGCGTAACACACCGGAAGGAAATGGAACACGCTTTTATTTGGCAGAATCGCAATTATTTTAGTAACGTCATCAAACTAACTTGTTATTGGTTCATTGACCTAACGAAGCTTAAAGTGTTACGGTGAAGCACCGATGGTTGCAGAAGTATGCAGTTTGACACAAATGGAAATCGGACGTACACGTGCTCAGTACTTTTAAGATTTGGCAACCACTTCTTCATCATTCTCAGGGTCAGTACTCTGCCACCGCCTACGACTGCACCGCCGATGCAGCCGTCCATAGTAAGCCAGACCGAAAAGGTTGTCTGTTTTTTAAGTTCAGTTAAATAAAATTATATACTAACTTTAAGTCAACCATGTTATAGATTTATTTTAAAATATTATCATTAGCCCAAAAATCATTAGAAAAACTTACCATCAAATCATCAAACTTATATAATCTTTTTAAAGTCTTTATAAGAACATGATATGAGAAAGCCATTAACCGTACTCCGATGGCATAAAGTTTATTACACGTGACTTAACATCGTGTACTTGTACTAATTTATCGTATATGTGGGTGAGTTTAGATTTTGTGTATTAGTATGGTATCTTTTTTTTACTTCTTTTATTGAGATGTAGTAACTGTGGTGACGTTTAAAGTTTTAGATAAAATATGGTGCGAAAACCTTGCAGATTCGTGATTAAAAAGAATCGCCTCCTAAAAATATGTCAAAAAATATAAATATATCTTTTATTTCTTAGAGAGAAAAAAATGTCTAAATAAGTATATTAAAACTATTATAAAATAGGTGAATAAATTATAGAAGAGGAGGTAAAGCGTAGCGATAAAAAGGTTCTATCACGAGAGCTCCTTTAGAATTTAGAGTGGATCGATTTCGTATAAAGTTTGATGAGATATTTATACAAAGCTTACCGAGACTTTGACCCATTCAGATTTTATCCCTAGAATGTTATCGAAAGAATTTTCATTATGTAACTTTTGATGATATTAACTTTGTATCCTGAATGAATAACATTAAAAACAGCTCTGGTTTTACTTATTCAATTCAATTATATCCATTGTACATACATTCTTATTATTATTATTTTTAAAAATATTGCCCTCACTTTAGGATAACATTATCCTGTGTTGTAAGGACGTTTCACAAACTTAAATTGCACGAGGACAAGTACCCAGATGCGAAACAACTATCTGTGGGTGGCACAAATAGTTGTCCCATGTGGGAATCGAACCCACGACCCTCGACGCCGAAGCCAATACATTGCCATCTGCGCCACGGAGTCATCAAAACATTATCTATACATCAATACTCTATACATACATACATACAAACATATAAGATAAATAAAATTGGATTGTCTGTTTGTAATATTAAAATAACCGCTTTTTACTAAATGTAATGGATGTATACACGCTACATATACCAAAATAACATTTTTTACAATTTTTGTCTGACTGTCTGTCTGTTTGTTCCGGCTAATCTCTGAAACGGCTGCACCGATTTTGACGGGACTTTCACTGGCAGATATCTAATGTAATAAGGAGTAACTAAGACTACTTTTATTTTAGATTTTTTTACTATAGATTTTTTTTATTTTAAATTCCACACGGACGAAGTCGCGGGCACAGGTAGTAATACACACAATAAATACCATATAGCATTTGTTAGCCTTTCTGATGCCTAGTTTTGTCGCATGTTACATTAGTATGCAATATAAATGTAACAAGCGCTACAATTACATATTCGTAACGACAAAGGATAGAGTCAATATGAAAGTACGTAAAAAAGTACGTTTGATCTACTCTGATCATTGTTTAAGTATGCTGACGGTAATCGCGACATAATATTTTGGTATTTGGAAATAGCGTACTTAAAACGTAAAGCAATCAGTGTCCATTTGTGTACTTCATGTGGTGGTAAATTTTTATTATAATAACACTCGTCAGTCACAAAATTAAACTATGCAACATCAATAATTGAAATTACGTACTACAAAGTACGTTCGACAAATGTCAAGTAGCTTAGAACCAAAATCAAAAGACGGACATAAACAAATATCGGTTTCGGCAATTGGAAACGCAACACCCCGGGGACCTTTCATTATGTCCGAGTCGAAATCTGATCACCTTCGGTGTGGGATGAGAACAATTACACCTGTGAGGCGTAATGTTCGATCGTTTAGCTGATTGGATTGCCGAGTTCATTCTCTTTTTTAAGCGTTCTATGCACTCGGACAAAGCGATCTTCCTCGTTTTTGTTACGAGTAATGCGAAATAATTAAGTTAATCGGCCGGCCTCTCTCTTTTCGTCAAAGTATAACGTAGGGGTCTTCAAGGTGAAAGTGAATAGGCTTCAACCGAGCCAGTGATTTTACTATCAGGACATTTATTATTACATTATACAGCTAAATTACAACTTTATCAGGTGGGATAAGTTCAAATAATAACCAGTTTAAAAAATGGTAATGACAAAGAATCAATCAAAAAACGGAGACCAAAATCGCTGGTACATATACAAGACATACGAAATATGTGCATTCATAATGCGCCACGCGTCATTCTAATTTGTTCTCCGGCAATGTAATGCAGTATTTTAAAACAAATTACCGATATTTACCGCGTGAAATTCATATCTAAATTTATACCGAAGCAGCGTTTTATATTGTTCCCAGCTTGTTTGAATAACAGTTCCGACTATAATCTAATTGTTAAAGTTAGCGAGCCAACGCGAGCCAACCGCGCTTAATCTAGATATCGCACTATTGTGATATAACATGGACCGTAAAAAATTTATGTTGCGCACACAACATTCTTTAGCCGTAATATCATAGTTATATGTTTACATACTTCAACTTAAATTTCAATATTTGTTTCCGTGCATCACATTCATTTTGGTACAATATTTTGTAAAACATGTAATTATGAACTGAAAAAATAATTAAACAGTAAACCTGTCTATGCAGGGTGCTGAAATCTGAACGCGTCGAAACATGCGACGACGCAATTAGCTCGTACGCGGCAACGCGCTCAATTCATTGAACACGCGTGAAAGACCTAGTTTTGTGACCTAAATTCAGTCACGGAATCATCTTAAAAGATTATATTTTGTGATGAACATAGTTTTTTTTCAGCATCTGGGTAGTATAGTCTAGCTATATTTATATATCTCTATCACTGTATATATGTATTTATAAAAGACATACTTTATGTTTATCAGTTACCTAGTAAAATACAAGCCGTACATAGTACAAGCTTTGCTTAGTTTCGCACAAGATAACATTATGTAAAAATATGTCCTCAAATATATTATTTTATTAAAATTGGTTGTCTTATTAATATGAATTACATAAAGTTAAAGGGTGATGACCTGTAATCATTTTGCTCATATTTTTAAATGAGAGGAAAATACTCTGTGCGACCCATATGAAAATTAAAGTTACAATTTCTCCAACAGACGCGAAAATTTAATCCTGAAACGTGTAAATATGGACGCTCCCCGAAAACCGCGTGACGCGGATATATTAAACTTTCGCGTATAGTCTGATGAGTGAGGGCTGGGGAGCACTTTTTTAAGGGTTGTCAGGGTATTCTTAAGCCCTCGAGTTTTGTAGAGTAAAATCAAGTGAACCGCGCCGGTTCGCTTGACAACTTTACACATTAAAAAACACTCCTTAACAGTAACGCGGTCAATGGTTGTTGTATAATAATTATTTTTCGTCAAGATATTGTTGGAGAAGGTGATTAAGAATGATACCATAAATGTGGCAGGTACTTTTTATTAACGACTCTCAACATAATTTGCCAAGACTATATAATTGTTACAACTAGCGCTATTAAAAATTGTTTACTGAATATTTTAGTATTTATTTAATATTCTCAAGCAATTTATAATAAACGATTTCCGAGGACTCCTTTTTCGATGATAGTGTGTTTCTATTGATATTCATGAGACGTTGAATTCCAATAGGCCGTCGGGAAAATTAATGATGGACGCAAGATTTATTTCAAGTCAAGGTTAAAACCTGTCCCTTTTCACTGAATCTTATGCACGGAGATCGTCTCAATGGAAAAGTTAATTATTTTGTTAGATATATTTTTAAATTTCTGTCAATTATTTATCTTTTAAAGCTCTTAAGTTCATGAGTAAACACATATGAGTAATAAAATATACAAACGTTTGGCGTAGTTTTTTACTAGTTTTGACACCGTGAGATGAAGTTCAGTTTAATAGAAAAAATATGAAACAAACATTAATTAGAGATTAATAAAGAAAAAGTTACAAAAGTGGTCATATTCGTGATATATTAGGAAATAGTAAACAAAATGGCAAATTCAGTTTTTCGTTTACAAATTACAGCTTGTTGTTTTTCGTTAATAAAAAATGAACTTGTTTTCGTGTAAATACAAATATTTTTTTTTACAAACTAATAAATACTTGATTAAATTCTTCAATTGAAGATTACTACAAGACCGTATTATTTATTGGCTGATACTTTCATAAAAGCGCAACCAGGGCAACTGCAAACTACTTCCTTCCTGTATTTACCGAATGCGTAACATCATTATCGTAAAAATATACTAACTGACAGAGTTGAACGGCCGGTTATATAGCTTAGAACGAATCACATGTGGGTTAAAGTACACGTGGCGCACCTTTATAAATAGTAACAAATAATAACAGAATTAGAACGGAAATTATATTCTTCTTTATTAAAAGTTAATTACTTTTTTATTTTTATTTTGTAGGCGAATCAAATTTGAATTTGTTTCTTTTCTTTGATACTACAAATAATAATTCTTAAAACAGTACATTTCATTTGCAGCCGAAAAGATTTTTTAAACTATGTCATGTAATTGATTAACTGTAATAGTAAATATGAGTAATAGATGAATTGCCAAAAAATATAAAACAAGAACGAATCAAGGAACTATCACTAAGGTCTTACTAAAATATTAAATTACTTATCCATTAATGCAAATAATAAATATATACATAGTGAGAATTCCCACATCATCATAGTCCAAATTATGATTTGCGCTGGAAACATTCACCATCAAAGTGTAGTGTTCGTATCTATTTCTTCTTATCAATTGCAACCGTGGCATGAATATATTCTATCTTCCTCTCTTATATTTTTGATGGAAGAACGTGGCAAATGAGCAAGAAAGTGAAAACTTCTATAGGCACGGTGAGCAATTTTGGTTGGGTAATATTTACAAGTTTGCATCACCGACATGTGTGACGTGTTTTGTCATTGACGTTTGGTGACGTTAAA